ACCTGAAGGGTCCTAAAGACTACGGGGACTTCGGAGGGAGGGGAAAGGGGGTGAGAAAGAAGGGACTCCAGGGTGCTCCTCAAACACAGATCCTGATGGTTCTGAAGGTTGGCTGGTAGGGAAAGTACAGACACGTTTGGCACCTTCCTCTCTACTTGGGGTGTGTTTGTCATCAGCCAATGGAAACCACTGTCAGGGGAAGGCGGCGCTGACAAATCCTAGCCACTGCGGGACACTGAGGGGCAGTGACACTACTGTTATCATTTCTACGGACCCACAAGTTCCTAAGCCCCCTCCACATGCCTGACACTTGTTAAATTCTCTCCATACAGAGGTCCTACATCTTACCAATTGGACAGAGTAGGAAACTGAGGCCAATGCTCTCTGTCTGCTGTATACTTTGGGCTGGAAAACACTAAACTAGAGCTTTGCGAGTGACACAGGATTTTCTGTCCTCTGTATACAAAACTATAGTGCTCATCAGGGGTCAGAGGAGCATAATCATTGGCTTTTATTGTCTATTTGGGAAGAGAAGACACATGCACATAAATTCAAGGGCTAATGAACTTTACAAGAACACAAGAGATGTCAAAAGGTGGTAGGATGAAATGCCAAGTTAATGGCAGAGATGCAGGAACTCTAGGATCTTATTAACATTTACATATTAAAATTGCAGATGTCACCAAAAGATGGGCAAGATACATTTCATACAGTTACAAATAAATATATATTACCGAGGGCCCACTCTTTAACAATAATGAATTCCGCCTATTTTCAGGTCAGATGTAACTCAAAGCTGTTTTATACATTCGGTATTTCTTCAAATAGGATTACCTTTTTCGAGAAGCAATCATGAGGCCTTAGAAGATTTTCGACAATGGAAAGGATTTTTTTCTTCCTGTAATGAACAGATTAAAAACTTAATCCCAAGGTCTGTCTCTGTGTCCAAGTATAACTGTGGTGTGAGTCACTCCAAGTGGGTTTTTTCATGTGTACACAAGAACTGTAAGTCATATTGGGGGGGGGGGGCGCAAAAAT